TGGAAAACACTTTCGGGTCATTTGTGGTATGGGAAGGTTAAGAGATACTGTAATTGCTGTGAGTGACCAAAAAACAATCTGACCATTCTTTTAATAAGCTCATCCTTGTCTTTTCTTCTAGTTTAAGCAACCTCGAAATCACGTGTGCGATACAGCACTGCTCCTATGGGTTTTTTTTAAATCAATTGGAAGTGAAAACTTTATATTCTTTAAAAAATGGTTATAGGCTAGTACCCATAAATGTAGATTTGGAATAATTGCATCATCATGCTTTTTCAGTCCCAGTTGGTTTTAGTTCTGGTTTGGAACAAAAACTATAGTGTGATGTAATTGCCTTCCTCTAATTATTTTTACCTTGGTGTATTCTGTTGCTGGCTTGTGTATATAGTTTTTATGTGCTGTCATCTGAAAAACTTTAAAACTCTTGAGAGCCAGTCTTGGAAACCCTTCTGGATGTATCATTGTTTTTTTATTTGTGCATGGCAATTGCAGCAGCCCATTAGGGGCCTATAATTCCTGTTGAGCATAGAACGGACTTCTCATCATTTAATATGGAATGTGATTTTGCTCCTCAGTCCAACTAAAATCTGCTTACTGTTGTGATTACCATCCCTGGGCTCCACCCTGCCTTTCACCACCTGCCACTTACAAGTAATTCCTTTGGCAATGAGAATACAACCAAAACTGTCAGATAAATTGGCCCCTTTTTGAGAGCCTTCTGATTATTATTCTTATTTTGTGGTGATGTCAGATTTCCAAGGGTAATCTCTCACTGGAGGAGTATGTTTTTCTTTGGGACTTGCATCACCCTCTCGTTTTTAGTCTCCATTTCAGATGTAATGATTGCTTACTGAAAATATGCATGATGTGGATTTTTTGTTATTCAGATCCATTACTTTTTGTAAGCACATCATTACATTTCTAGGAAGGAGAAAAGGAGACTCTTCAATCCAGAAAATAAGCCAAGGATTCACAACAGGCAAACTTATTTTGTCTCCAAGTACATACAAGTTCATTTGTTGCCATCTTCTTAGAAAAAAAAAGGTTTTAGTTCCTATTTTAAATACTTTAAACACACTTCATGGCAGTGTTTCCAGAGAGATGGAGAGGGACATTTTACAAGGGCATGTAGTGATAGGACAACGGGTAATGGCTTTAACTGGAAGAGAGGAGATTTAGAATGGATATTAGGAAGAAATTCTTTACTGTGAGGTTGATGAGACACTGGCACAGGGTGCCCAGAGAAGCTGTGGCTGCCCCATCCCTGGCATTGTTCAAGGCCAAGCTGGATGGAACTTTGAGCAACCTGGTCTAGTGGAAGGTATCCCTGCCTGTGGCAGGAGAGTTGGAATGAGATGATCTTTAGGGTCCCTTCCAACCCAAAAGGTTCTACAATTCTATGATTTCTGTTCTCTGCTTAAGCAGCAAGCATATTAAAAACAAGTGCGCTTTTAAGACACATGGGAAGAATCACAGAATCAGTGAATGGTTTGGGTTGGAAAGGACCTCAAGATCATCTAGTTCCAACCTCCCTGCCATGGGCAGGGACACCTTGCACTAAGCCATGTCACCCAAGACTCCATCCAACCTGGCCTTGAAGAATGTTTCTCGCTACCTCTGAATAGTGTTTTCCTTCTTTGCTTTTGCATGTTTGATACTGCATATGTACAAAGTTAAATTCAGAGCTTCCTTCACACTTTGATGTTTGTGATGCTATTATCTCTAGAAAAGAAAATACAACCCCAGTTTAATCCTGATGGAAAAATAAGAGAAGTGGTGTATAAGTGTTCGTAACTAGTATTTTACAATACCTGCTGACAATTTTATTCTGTTATCATACTGAAGTTTTAAACTAAGATTTACAACTGCTTGCTTGAAGTCAGTGTCATATACCTGCAAGCTTACAATGTCAGGAAGAGCAATTCTTCTCATGCCCTGGATTAGGATGCACTATCAGATACTTGAACACCAGGTCAAATGTAAATGCAGTTGCAGTGAATGTGTCACAAAGGCAGTGGTTTTGGGATGTTTTAAGCATTGTCTCACTGCTATCAGCTTCATCTTGTCATCCTCTCTCGGTCTTAACCAAGGCTTGTTTTTTAATCCTCAGTTGGGGGCAGTTAAACTGGTTCCAGTAACTTAGGTGGCTTAGTCATTGCAGGTCAGTGGGCTGTGGTCACCAGTGACTGCAATACAGTTTTCCTCCAAAGACATAAAGGAGGCCACACGTTTATGAGATGAAGCCTCAGGAGAAATTTGGGCTGATGCTAGCTTGCAGAAGTCTCTCCAGCAGTGGTTTCCTATCTCCTCTTTTCTTGCTTCCCTGTCTCTTCGCCTCATAACTCCCCATTGCTGTTTTTGCTTCTCATTTTACAATCTATCTGTTTATGTTAGATTATAAACTCCTGAGCACAAGGATCTTATAATTTTTAATAACTGAAAAGTTATGTACACTGTGCACGTCAATGGTATCTGATGCTTTCATCTTTTTCTCTCTTCCTTCTCAGAAGTGAAGGTTCTCATCAAAGAAATTATTGTGGCACAGGGTATTCTTTGGTGAAAGGGAAAGCTCCCTTTCATCCTGCTTACAGTCCCTTGCTTTAAAGGATCCAGAAAGCATGCCATTGCAATGAAATTTTAGTGCAGTAATGCATGCAGTTCCTGATAGTAATTTATATGGCTGTAGAACTACTTAAAAAATAGACATTTCTTGTACCATATACTGATTACGTTTCACAATGACTGCCTAGATTCTATGGTAATGGTAGCTTTTGAGATGCATGTATTATAATAAATATTACAATAAATATAATAAATAATTCCATAATTAAAATAAAACTCATAATAATAGTAATACATCTTATATTCAAAGCATACTTAAAAGCAAGATACCACTATACACTTACTGAAATATACATCTAATTTGAGTATAGTTTTTAAGAAAATTGATATAATGGGGTTTTTTTGGTCATAAGTCCTCCTTCCTTGAGTCTTGTGATCACTTCCCACTTTGCAAACTTGAACCCAAACCTTTTTGCTTCAGGAAGATGTATGCCAGAGGTAAATATGTGGTTGTTCCATAATGTGGATGACTCTGGGAGTAATAGGGTGTTGTGAAATACTTTGGTTTTCTGACAGGTTTCTAGACAGCTTAGACAGCTATAAGCATGATGGCAAAAAAATTTACCTGTAGCCATGGGTCGTGTTTCATGAGCTACATTATGAAGTGATGTTGACAGTTTTGCTGTCATTTTGGATACCTTCTTTCTGCCTATGTATTGTAAAAATCTCTGAGAAACATATTTCCTGAAAATGTGGACAGTTTATATAATGGCAGTGCTGCAGCTCAGTTAAATAGAATAACACATTCACCAAGAAAAATCTTGTGCAGGATGGATGTAAACATACCAATTAAAGGTGTCTTTCAGAAAGCCCAAATGTACTTCTTCAGGGATTTCTTTGTTAAGATGGTATTACAATCTGGCATGTCTTCTCTGCCTGCTAGGCGTATGTTGGGTTTCCCAGAGCAGCCTGAGTGTACTTGCAGGTACAACCAACAAATAAATGGGAAAATCTTCATCCATTGGAGACAAGAAGGGGCCAACAGACGCACCTAGGAGTGTAGCTGACATCTACAGGTTTCCTTGCATGGTGCTCTTTTCAAGCATAGGATAAAACAAATACGTCTTGTCCAAGGGTTGTTTAAACATTCAGACGCATTTTTGGGAATGCAAGAAAGGATTCCAGGCTCACTTGGGTAAACAACTGTATCAGAAAATGTTTTAGGAGTAGGGAAGAGCTGGTAAGGGAGTAAGCAGCAAAGAATGTAGTTTGTTGAGGTCTGAAGAGGCTTAGCAGAAGTCACCCTACTAAGCCTTGAAAAGACTATCAAAACAAATATGATTAAGTAGAGAAAAAATTAAGTAGAGGCATTTTGGAATGAGGATAGGACTAAAACTAATCCTAGCTGTGGCTGAAACTAAATGGATGTTTCTCCTCATCTTTTTATGAGGATAATGTCATCAGATACAGAGAGTATGGAAATGTGAACTGTTCTATCCAAGATGAAAACAAAACTAAGAAGCCCACTTAAGCAGTGGGACCAGAGAATCTCAGAATAATGAGAGAACAGAAGCATGAAAGTGAGGTTCAATACTATGGGCTTCTCATAAACCTGCTGCATAGGTGTCATATGATTAGGCTGTAATGAATGTGTTTACACACATGGTCTGAGCTACTGCAGATATTAAGACAATGCAAGAATTTGCCTAATTTGAAAGGAAAAAAGTAGAAATGTGCCGTATATCAATAAAGTTTATGGATTAAAATTTGAAAAGCGTTTGGAATACAGAGAAGGAATGTAATTTCTTTTCTAGGATTGACTTGGAAATCCTTGAGATCTAGAATAATAGGATGAAATATGAAGTGCATCATCAGGAATCTGGAGAGTAGAAAGAAATTGTGTGGTGGGCTGGGTGCTTGCTTGTCTTTGGAAATTATAAGAAAGACAAATCACTGTAAAAAAGAAATACCTGCTCTTTTTTGCCACAGCAAATAGAACAAATAAGATGAGGGAAAGAAAAAAAGAGACTTTCCCTAAACATTTATGAAAGTATCAATGTGTCTAGAAGCTTTACCAAGCTTGTTTTGCAGCTAGAAACTGTTTGTTAATGAGAGAGGAACCCAAGTGACACTGATAAAAAAGCAGATGACCACCACTCCTGCACTCGCTTTTGCCTAGTGCTGGCTTGATGATGTGCTATGTGAAAAGAACTGTCTTCTCTGCACTAATTTTGGGGTAGCTACTACAAATGCTGGTGGTGCTCACTAATGGGCTATTCTATTGGGTTTACTAGTGAATAGTCCATTTCTAGCAAGGAGGACCATATAGTTTTAAAGAAATACTAGAAAATAACAATGAACATGAATAAATGAGAATTAACTCTGTCTTTTTTCTAATGGGGCTTTTCAGAAAAAGTAATTATGTCTGTCTTTCAGCCATGGAAGAGTTAATAGTTGAGCTGCGCCTGTTTCTTGAACTTCTGGACCATGAATATCTAACTTCGACTGTCAGGGAGAAGAAGGCAGTAATAACTAACATTCTCCTGAGGATACAGTCGTCAAAAGGTCAGTGTCAGGGGTGGGTGTTCTTGCTTGCAGAATGAACAGAATAAGTGAAATAGGTTTAAGGGCTAAAGACAAGCCCTAAATTGAAGCAAAACAGAAAGACAGGGTGAAGCCAAAGTATAATTTTCCTGAACGCTTTCCTTCATGCTCAGCGGTAAAATATAGCACAAGGCATACTGGAAGTATCTTGGGTGCACATGGGTGAATCCAGCCACAGAATTATGTGCTATGTGGAATGTTTTCACTTCTACTGATAGAGTGGTTACTTCATTTTATTTGTGGCAACAATGCTATTTATGAGTTTTGATGGAAAAGTAATACTGTATCAGGGAGTGCTGGCCACAGTACCATTTTGTAGATGTATGGGTGCTGCATCACTGTCAAATGACCCAAATCCATCAAGCGGCTTGATATTAAGGTTCCAAATATGTTTGGTTTGCATTTTGCAATTAGAGTTATACTCACTTTCCCCTTTTCTTCCTCTCTAAAACCATTTTGATTGCGCAATTGCTTTTGTCTTCATGAGGATTATAGAACTGAATGCAATATAAATGATTCGCTGTGTACAGTGACCTTTCCACAGAGCTTATGTGAAGAATATTCCTCAGTATTTTTTTTCTAACAGTACTTTTACTTTTCCTTACAGCACCTTTCCATATGAAAGTGGCATCAGGGTTATAAGATGTCTGACTCTGCTATATTTGACAGAAATACTGTCAGTGTAAACTCTCAGTGCTTAGACATTTGAAAAATACCAGGATGTGTTGAAGAAAAATACCACATTGTGAGCAGCTGCATTTCTCATGATTTGTTTCTTCTCCAGTCGTAAAAAAGTATGGTCTTGTTTGGTGCAGTTTCCCCCCTTCAGTAAAGAAATCACTTTTGCCACAGGATTCAAGTCCAAGAACATCAACTTGAAAATATGATTATCCTCCTTTCTGTTTTGACATTCTTAAAGACCCATCGCTATTTTTGTGTTACTACTGAGAGAAGGAAGCAGATACTGATTTCACGTGTTGCAGAAGGAGGCTTCATGCTCCAAAAGCTAATCACAATATAACAAAGTCCCCCAAACCAAAATCTGTAAATGAGAACCTGCAATTATTTGCTATGTTTAGGAACAGCTATATTTTACAGGAGTTCAGATAACCTCAGTAATCCTGATCTGACACTGCATGTTCTTCTTGTAGTCTTTTCAACTGGATTTATTAAGAAAAACACTAAGACTTCCTCAAGAAGTCAAATGACATTCTGTTGCCAACTTTGCAAACGCAAGGAATGGTTGTCATATCCTTTCCTTCTGGATTGTGGATGGTGTTGTAGGACACAAACAATGCTGGGTATGTTTTTGAACCCTAGAACTCAATTATTTATGCTGGTAAATTATGGAGTGGTCGTTGGCATGGATTTGGCCTGAGCTGACTTGTCTTCTCCATCAGTTCCTAGGCATGATGTGGGAGTTAGCATGGGCAAAGATCTGTTCCCAACAAACGGTTCAAAATCATCACCCTCCACCTTGGTTTTGGGGGGGTGAGATATTTTAACCCTGTGGATAGCAATTTATCCATACCAGAGCACCTTCACAGGCATGTTTAGTTTATGACTCTGGATGTGGCCAAGGATAAAAAGACCCAAAGTCCATAGCTTTCCACCTTTCAGAACCTACCATTCTGTTTTTGAAATATATTAAAGGATATATAACAAGATCCACTGCATTCTATTACAGGATCCATCCATTAGCGAGATCCATATATTAAGTGGTAGGGTTTAGCATAGTGCACTTGTTACTGGAACATTTTACCCACTTCTAGAGCCTGCATTCAAGGAGATGAAATTTAGACATTTCAAAGAAAAGTCATAAAAGTGTTTAAAGGATTCAGAAATATGCCTTCAAATTACCAAAATGAGGTATAATAATTAATCTTAATTCAGAAAAGGAGTGATTGAGAACGAGCTCTTACACAGCAGTAAGTGCAATGGCTGAATGTTTCAAAGTGGAAATAAAGCACGTTTTGAGCACTGAAGCTATGAACTAATGGAAGAACTTTGTAAGCTCTGCATGCCATTGCTGGCATTTTATCAAGATGGAATATTTTACTAAAATATATGCTCTGGTTCAAACAATTAATTCAAGGAAATCCCATAGTTCAGTTAAGCAAGAGGTCACAGAACTGCGCTTTATATGTCTATAAACTCTAGTTTATGGAACTGCAGTTTACACAGTGTTTGAGCCAGCATGGCCTATAAAAAAGCATCCTGTTTCTCTCCCCAGGCTACTCATTCTTGCTCATCATGTATTGCATCTTCCCTTCTGCTAGCACAAGCATTATTTGCCTTTTGTTTTTTTGCTGGTTTAGTTCTAACCAGTGTCACATCCCTGGTCTGGTTCAACCTGAGGCTACACACATGCTTACGCTGGCACGAAGGAGAGGTTAGTGCAAGGACAGGAACAAGGCAGGGAAGGAGAGGAAATGCCTTCTTGGGAGCTCTGCCTTCCCATACCGGCTTCAAGTGTGTGTGAAACTACCCAGGGAGTCATGTACTTTACTGGAGCTGACCCTGCTGCTTTTTTTATCAGTTATAACATTCATTACTCCCATCCCTTTGAAACTATTCATCTCTTCATTAAAATTAAAAGCAATAAAAGATGCATAAACCCACAGTTCTCTGTAACTAAGTTGACCTGTCATTTGCAGTCTGTTTTTCAAAACGTTTTACTCCACCCACGTAACTCCACAAGAACTCTTGAGTCGTTGGCATAGTTTAAGAGGACTGAGGAGTATGCTGAGTTCAGGCTCTTCATATGTATTTGCAAAAATCAACTATGTGAATCCAACAGAGTATTTCAATTGCTGGAGCAAACCATGGGGAATGGTAATGGAGGATCTGGGCAACTGGGAACTGGCTGGGCTCTTCAAAACATCTGGAAATGTACAATTATGCTTTTCTTTGTAAAGGTGTGGAAATTACTATAATGGGCTGGTTGTTTTTTTGTAAAACACTTATAACTCAGTAATTTCTTACTTGGGGAATTCTTCAGAAATCTTTTACCTTGTTTTGTTCCGTCTCCCAAGTGCACGCTGTTTCTTTCATTTTATATCTTATGAGCAGAGAGAACTGGGCCAGGCAGATGTGTTCTTCGGGTCATCGATGCCTGGCCTCAACATGCCCCATGTCCAACTCAGTGGTTACTCTGAATAGTTGGCAAAACTATAAACTTTATTTTTCTTCCTGAGTCTTGGCATGCCCAGTGGATTATAGGTCTGAAGAAAACACTTGGCATTTCCTTCTGAAACTTAGACTTTCTTCTAAAAACAAAGACACAAATAGTTTATTTTGGAGTAAGAACTGTTGCTGGATTTAGTCATTTAATATGACTGTCAATTTTGCCTGTTTTCCTTAAAGGGACCTGATGCTGTAAACCTGTAGTGCACACTTTACTGTATAACTTGATAGAAGAAAATCGGTGTTAGAGCAGGTTCTTGCTTAAATGCACATGGTTTAACCTTGGGGAAAACTAGTTTCCTTCATATTTGACTTCTGTTTGCTATGTAAAGCATGGGAGACTTGGCTATGGATAGCAGTCATTATATGGATTCATCCTACTTAAAGAGTAACAAGTGAAAGTTAGACTGGGGGAAAAAAAAGAAGAAAAGATTGGAATGTTTCCCAAGACTAATCCCCCTTTTGATTTCTAAGAAGAAAGGAGAATCTGTAGCCCTTGGAGGTAGTTTATTTTATCAGTGTTGGTTTTCAATCCATGACTTCACAGCCAGTGGGACTGGTGTATTATGACAAGAAACATTTAATCATTGATTACATTTTCAAGAATTATATGATCTTGACCAAAAGACATCCATTTGACTACATAAATATATATTTTAAAAACTAAACTAAACACTAGGAGCTAAATTCAGTCTAGGGGCAAGCAGGGTACAATCCATTGACCAAATTTTTGCCAGAACATTACGGAGATGCATCTTAATCTGCCTTTTAATATTTAGAAAAATAAACAACATCATGTTCCTATGAAGTGAGTTCAACTGTGATTTAAATTAGTGTGCCAAAACCTCAGAATGAGTGGGTGACTCCTCTTTTCCCCTGGGAGGGAGATGTAATAGTGATACAAAGGACCCTCAAAGCAGCTTTTATGTTAGCTTCCTTTTCCCTTTTCAAATTCACCTGGAAAGCTATAGATTATTTACAAGAAATGAGAGGTAAGTTAATGATGAGTTGGTTAGGGCAGTGTTCCCACCAGCAGCAGCATGCTCCAGGTTGGCGTGTCACACCATCCTGCATCTCCCAGGACTTGTGCAGACTCACACCATGGCTTCATGATCAGACATGGTCATGGCAGCAGGATCATGCCCAGGGAACATGGGCACTGTAAGCTTGGCCATACAGCTGTCACCATCGCTGCCAGGAAGGCAGGCAGGCAGGGTCTCTTTTTCTGCCCTTTTCCTCACTCTTTTGGCATGAAAGGTAGTTTTGGACTTCTTTCTGCTTGATGGCTTTGCCCGTCCAAAATGTGCCATGGGAACAACTGTTGCTCGTCTCCTCTGGTAAAAGGCAGCCAGCCACATACTGCCCACAGGCTGATTGTGTTTTATTCACTGTACAGTGCCTTTGGGGTGTTCACAAGTGTTGTATCTTACCCCCATAAATGATTTTATCTATATGGTAGACGCCTGGCAACGTGTTTGAATTTTAGCTGTTTAAATCTTTCAGTTCCAGATGGATAGGCAGTTCAGAATGATTTCCTGTAATTTTTTTCTGTGTCTGGTATTTGTTGATCCAAATAGCATATATGTCATTGTCATATAGAGCAAGTATGTGTTTGTTCTGCTTGATTAAATTCCTGAATTCCCAGCATTCTTCCAGTCCTGCCTCAGTCACCACACTTGGGAGGTAGGCTATGAGCAGCAGTGCATGGCAGATTTCGGTGTGTGACAGTCAGACATGGTGTCCACATGTGGAAAAAATGTCCTGTTTGCATCCACCAAAGTGTTAAGTGATGCCTGTTGCTCTTCCACAGGTTTAGAAATAAAAGAACATGTACAGAAGCAAGAAGTCACCAACAGTTTGCCAGCGCCTCCTCAAATGCCCCTGCCAGAAATACCTCAGCAGTGGCTGGTGAGTGTTAATCTAAATACATAAATATATTTGGGAGAAAATATATTTGTGATAAGCACTAACAAATTTTTACAAGGGGAAGGAGCCTGCAGGTCCAGGGAAATTATAATTCCTATCACTTCCACTCTGGTTGAAAGAACTGGGTTCAACTTGCAGAAGAGAAGGCAAAAAATGTCCTATGGTGAAATAAGCCTTGGAACAGATCACCTGCAAAGGCTTTGGAAGCACAGACTTTCGCAAAAGTCTGAGCAACTTAATCTTAACTTCAAAGATTGACCTGCCTTATATTGGAGTTTGGCCTAGCTCACAGGTCCCATCAGGTTTCTTATGATTTCAGCTTTTCCTGGAGCAGGCCTTATGAGAAGACTTCCTCTTGATAGCTGAAAAATGAAGGTGCAGAGGTTTAAAATGAAGGAAAAATACTTCTCTCTTAAAAAAAGAAGTCTGTAGTGCCCTTCTATGCTCAGTCTCTGGGTAGGAAATTCCCTGTAGAACAAGTAGAAGTGCATGTTCCTGGAGATGTTTATAGCAAAGATACTGATTGAGATCTGTAATTCAATCCTTCCAGCTGGGAGCAGCTGTCTAGTTATAGAATAAACTATAAACCTATTTTAATGCTTCTCTATTACTGACTTCACAGGAGATTGGAAAAAAACATTTTCAACTTCTTTTTAGAGAAGCATAAGCAAATCATGGGTTAAACCATTGAAAGGTGAACATGGTCTAGCCCTAATACTGAAAAATTATCCATGTTTTTATTCATTTGTAGAAAATCTTGTGCATGGTGACAAAGACAATCCATGGAGACTCTCATTCATTGTCTGAACCAGGAAGTACAAATGCAGCTTACAGGGGCAGAACAACTAGATGGCTGGCATTCTGCTTCATTTTAATGTATTACTCTGTTACCACATTTCTGCCTAGTTCTAAGAGATATATAAGCCAGTAGCAGCTTATGAACTTAACTAATTTATCAGATCAAACTCTTGGCTAGCCTTTCATAATACTTTTGTAATTACCTTTATTTGGTGGTGAATAATGCTGTGTATTGCAGAACAAAGTGAAAAAAAACCCAAAACATATATTATATAGGATACCTTAATCATAGTTTATCCCTCAGCACTGTCAGCTTTTGGTTTGTGATCTGAACAAGATTTTTGATATGCTGAAATTGTTATAGGAAGAGAATGTTTGTGCTAGAAACATTCACATCTAGAGTTGGTATATCTACTGTAGGAAAATTCAACTAAAAGGGATGCATGAAAATAAGTATGCATAGGTTTGAATGGATGCAAAAGTGGTGTTATTAACATGCAGTGAAACCTGGAGAATCCATTTCATGGTTAACAGTGCCTGAAAATGATTATTTTTCTTTGATTCAAGATGCATATAGCATTAATTACAAGGGAATAGGTTGATGAGAGGCAGGAAAATTATGCAAAATGCACGTCTTTGAAATGTAGACTTCAGGTGCTGGCTTCATGAACTGAAGCCAGTTGAGATTCTTCTTCTTTCATGTTTATGTAGGTTCAGTTTAATAAATTGGCTCTGAAGATTCAAGTTGTTTTTCTGAAGACAACTGACCTACTTTTCCTTTCTCATACACTAATGTGTAAATTCCCTTAAAGCTGGTACAGCTGCAGTGAGTGAAATAGTGTGAAATATGAAATAGGTCCAGGAGGTCAACACTGTTTTTTGCAGTAGTTCAGTTTGGATTTTTGAATAACAAAAATACTTCTCTGAGATCCAGTGGGAATTACCATGGAAGTTGACACAGAGCTGGTTGGTCTGGAGCACGGTCTTCCCATGTTAAGCCTGGCAAAGTGGAGCTTGAACACAGCCCTCCCCTCTGACCTGCTCGTAACGCTGCGGACACTTTCATTTCAGTGAAGTCACCAAGCTGAGCTGGTTTTTCCATAGTGGTGGAAGCTGATTTTTGCCAGTTTTTCTGGAATTCTGTTGCTGCTGCTGCCAGGCGGTGGCGGTTTCCACCCCCCTTTCTGGTGTCAGTGTCACTTTGAGATCAGCCATGAAATGTCCCACAGCTCTCATTGTCTTGCATTATCCAAATACAGGTTATGATCTATTTTAAGATGGTAGCACATTGTAATTTGTGAAAAAGATGAGAGACTGCTGCTGTCCTGCAAAAGACCAGGTGCAGTCAGAAGGGAAGGACAAAACCATCAGCTTTTTGACCTTTGAACACTGGGGCGAGCTCAAACCCCAGTCTGACTGTTTAAAAACGTCTCCTGAAGTCATGTTGAACTAATGGAATTGATCATTATCTGTTTATTTGAAACCTTTCTCTAAGAGATGCCTCTTTGTTAGCCCCTCATTATTATTATGATCAGAGCCTCTCATATTGTCTTCCTTTTTATAGCAGGCTGGACATCAGTGGCAGTGGCCAAGACCTAATTTTCTGTTCCATTAATGCTCCTGTGACACAAATAGTGAGTTACCTTTCCTAGCCGCTTTTCATGGACCATGCTTTCATAGTTGAGTGGAAGAAATCTCCTGGACCCAATAGAGGACAGGAAATTCTGCTCCAGATTGCCCTTCTTTGCACAGGAAGTTGGAAGTCATGTTGTATAGCATCTTTTTCCCAGCCATTTAGGACAGAAACATTTTCCACTTGCTGAATAACACCTAGTGGTGGTCTTAGCCTCCAGTGGAAACACAGTGGGCTGGTGAAACATAAGAAATTACTGGAAGTGGGAATCAATAACTTTAAATGCACTATGCACTGTTATTGAGCATAATGAAAGTTAAAGTTTCATTTACACCAGTGTTTCCCTTTACGGCACTCAAGGGATTCTGCATTCAAAAATGTTTAGTTTGAATTGATGTTTAAGCTTTTACTTATGTAAAGATGTGTGGGTGGGAAGGAATTCAATACCCCTTAAAGTAGTGCCAGGAGACAGAATTATGTGTGGGCAGGTGCTGTGCAAGGTTTCCTTTGTAAATCTGTAAATAGACCTGCATATTTGCTCAGGCCAAATCTTGTATCAGTTTTGTTATTCATCAGCCCATGAACAAAGAGTATAAATTTAATTTGATTTAGGAACATGCTGTTAATAGTTTAAATGAAGTCTCGAGTTATTAAAACACATTAAACCCTGGAGAGTTTTCCTGGACTCAGTGGGCTTTAGACTAGGTCTTAAAATTGAGGGACAAAGTTGGACCTTGCATGGACTTGAATGAAGTGAATCACTAAACACACATTCTTTTAGTAATTCTCTTTTTCTCTGCACACATCTTGCCTACATCTGGTCTACCAGACTTTCTGTCAGGCTTAGAAAGCACAAACCCTCACTTGCTTTAGCTTTTGCATACAGCTCCTTCAGATGGCTGGCAAAGTAAAAGCTGCAGATAAAGAATGTGAGCTTAAGGGCAACCTCGGAGTCTTGCTGCAGAACTGAGAGGCCACTTGCCTGGGTGCATTAAGTTGTGCTTGTTAGCATGCATGCAGTGCCAGCAGCTAGGGAAGCTTTGCTAGCTCAGCAGCAGAGGAGATCACCCTGTTTGAAATAGAGTTGTACTGGTTCTCCCCTCTTGACCCTGCTTTACTGTGAGGGCTTGTGTCTCTTAGCCTGCTTTCTCCCTCTCCACACCAGCAGGTGCTGTTATGGTATTTCCTTGCTCTTGACAGGCAAGTAACAGTAGTAGATGATGGGTTTGGAGGAATAACAGAGCCGAGGCCCTGTGTGTACCTCGAAGTGCTGCTGGTGGTTTAACACCTGGGATCTCATCTTTGCACTATCACCAAGTTGCCTTGAAGTACATTTTCCACTGAGGCGGTAGGGTAACATCCGGTGTGTCCTGCTGCTCGGTTGCACCCGGGGATTACTGGCATGAATTATCCTCAGCATGACAGTGACAGAATACTTCTAGCCTCCAAGCATTTGGTTGTCATATTACATCTGACAGTTCGGGATTTCAGTGCACTGTGCAGTCCAACAAAATCAAATACAAACAGCACGCTTAGCTATTTTTCATGATTTTCACAGTAAAATTGAGTATAGGTTTTGTTTTTCCTGGAATATTGTCAATTTAATAATTATTTAACCACAACAAGTGTCCAGCAAGATGCCAGAACCCCTGTAGGTATAAATCAGAAGGATAAGTCCTGCAACATACACAGTCACTCTGTAGGAGTGTTTCATATAAATGGGTTTCCTATTGTGGAGAAGTGATTTGACAGCCTCCCTTTATCTGGCTGCCTGTCAGGTATACTTTTAGGTATTTATTAGAAAATGCTGAAAGGAGAGAGTGTCTTTGGAGAAGAAAAAAATCATCCAGAAATCAAAAGGATTTTTGAGGTGCTATATCACCGATTACATTAATCATTCATTGAACAACAACCAAAATAGTGACAGTCTTTAAGCTTCTTCTAAAATGTGCAGTGAGGCTAGTGCCATATCTACAGCAAGGGGCTCGTGCTAGGTGGGTACTTATGAATCTTTATTTCATCTTGCTTTTTCTTCTAACACTGAAAAGCAGTTGTTGCTATTCTTTGTTTGTCTGAAAATAAAATCTTAGGATAGTATTAGCCTTGGAGTCTTTTCCTTGCAGGACATTTTTAAAAGCCACCAAAAAAAAAATCAACAAAAATTCAGTTGTTTAATTCAGAGCTGGCTAATAGCTTCAGCTTGAACGAGCTCAACAAGTTCTTCTATAATGAAGGAATAACTAAAGGGGCCTTTTTGATTACTCAGTGTGGTCACTCTTACTGAAGGCAATTATAAAATATTAACCTTTCAGAAACATACCAAAATCTATTTACTAGAATGTAGGGGTTTTTAACCCACTATTTCAATTTGAAGGACTGTTCCACCATCCCAGAGTTGGTTGCCAGCCTTTGTTCTTGTGTTTAAGTAGCCTTTTCTTTCCTCACCTTCGTACCTGTACCTTACATATCTTTTGAAAATGCAATTGTATTTCTCTCAGTTCCATTTCAGTCCATTTGTATAAGAAAGGATGTATCAGTTTCATTTTGATCT